CTATAAAAGTAAATTTCTATTAAATAAAAGATAAGGATTAATGTTTTTCTATAACGTTTAAAAGCAAAAATATTCATTTATTTATTTCATATTTTGGCTTTATTTAAATTTCTTAAATTGCTTTTAAAATAGCCGAAGATTTATATATATTAAACATCAGCTAGCAGGTGAAATTTAACACAGGTGAAATTATAGTAGGCATATAGGCCCGTAGGCCTGTACTATAATTACAACTTAATGTGTTAATCATATATATATATATATATATATATATAAGTTTAATAAGTAAGTTTTTTAGAAAATTTTTATACATTTATTTAATAAAAAGAGTTGCATAAATGATTGTTTTCGTTAAAAAATGAAATACAATCGAACCTCCAAACAACGGCCATTTTTATGTTCCCATCAGTGTTCGTTGTTCAGAGTGTTGACTGTATATTTACTTGCATACTTTACATTTGTTTATTAAACTTGATTAAGCTTTATCTACTGTATACATATGTCGATTTTATTCATAAATTAACTTACATTTTACTTATAAAAACAAGTAAATATACGAGGAAATAATAAAAATATACAGTATATAATACAAGGGAAACACCAATAATATCCACCTCTAAACTGCGGACGGTTTCTTTTCTGAAATACATATAAAATAACTTCAAACAACGACCATTTTTTTAAATATTTAGTAGTCGTTGTTTAGAGGTATGACTGTGTAGTATTGTACGGCAGATAATACAGGCCCGTACAGGTAGGGCATCATTATTTTAAAATATAGGTTATTAGCCTATAAAAGATGCTATTGTATTCATGTTCGTATCGATGAGTTAAGCGTAATGTGTCTAATAATTTATAACAATTTATATTTATTAATAATTAGAATATTTAATAAAAATATCTTATATAATAGAAAATACGAAAAGATCGAATTGTTCTTGTATTAAATGATTTATACAAAATAAATTTAATTAATTTATATTATAGACATATAAATAGAATAATCTATAATTTATTTAAGTTTAAATTTTATTGTTTACAGATTAATTGAAACAATAATAACACTATTAAAATTTATTTCCTTTACACCTGCATTTTAATACTGTTTGTTAGTATATTTAGCCAGTTGTTGAAAGAAAATTCTTAAGTTATTTTTAAAAAAAATATATTTTAAACATTAAAATTTTATGCATAGATTTAACTTATTTTAATAAATATTTTATTCGTCAGTAAGAGAAATTAATAGAAAAGCTGAACCTTATTCAACTCCGAGCCGAATTTGCTAGTATGAAATTAGCATGTTCAGGCCCTAATACAAAGGAAACAAGACCATTTCGTCCAGGCCTATTAATTTCAGGCCCCTTTAGAAAGGCACAGGACCATTTGGTTCAGGCCCCACACTTAAAAAGGCTTTAAAACATTTCTTATAAATTATTCAAACATTTATTATAAATTATAGAGTCCTTGAAAAGATAATTTTTTTTCGGGCCTCTTTTAACCTTTGAAAGGCTTTGATCGTGTTATAACTTAAATTAATGTAGTTTATTTAATGTCAATTTAAGAAATGACAATTATTTATTAAATTAATATAAAATAAATATTATTTTTTAACTTATTTATAACAATTTAACTGTTTTAAATGAGAGGTCAAATGACTTTTAAAAATATTCTTCTATTATTAATATTTATTAAATAAATTTTTATACATTATAATTAAGGTAAATGATGACATTACGTCGACCTAATAATAAATTTATGTTAATTAAAGTAATTTCTATTTTAAAACTATTTAAAATAACCTCATTTAAATAGTATATAGAATAATTTAAGTTAAAATGTGTAAAGAAATGTTAATAGTCCTGTAATGTAACTTTAAAGTTAAGAAAATAACACATAAAAGAAATTAAATTTTTAAAATAATAGTCCCTATCTATGGTAAGGATTGAGGGAGACAGAGACAGTCATAAAAGGGGCCCTCCGAAAGCTACAGTACTGTAGCTGCTATGTGTTAAATCAAGAGTTGTGGGAAAAGGGAGGCCCCAGCTTTTGAACGCTTTCACTTTCATAATTGGATCCAAATAAGCAAATTTTTTGTCACTTATCAAAAGACACATCAATTCATATAACATTCTTTATATAAAAAAGGCTAAAATTTAGGCATTCTCTACGTTGTGTTTGAAGCCCGATCTAAATGATTTCTCCTCTATTCGAGCCTGATTAATTTTATTTAAATTACTTATATAAGTAATAAAAGATAGATTAATTAGTATTTTATAAAGCAGAAATGATAATATTTTTAAATTATATCATTTAATACAGAAGCTTTAAATAAACAAAAGCATTATAACTTAATGCAATATTAATCGTTAATTTGAAAAAAAAAAAAAATTACCTTTAAACTTGCTAATAATTTAAAATATTATTTAAGAATAAATAAAATAATTTTGTCTTTCGTTATAATTCAAAATATATTTATTAAATACATAATAAATAGAGAAGAATTTATGCCAATTAAATTGAATATGTCGTTCATTTACACTTTATATATATAATAAGTTTTACGTAATATCAAAATATATTCTATATAGGGCCTATATATAATAGGCTATAATATTTAAAAAATAAAGATGTTATCCTGTTTGAATTTAATGATTGATGCATCGTTATCAATCAACTGTAAAAGGTTATTACATTATCACTTTCCTGTTAATAATTATTAATATAACTTGTATCAAAATTTAAATGAGATCTATATTTTATTATTGTTATTATGAATTTTCGGTTGAATTATTATTATGAATTATAAATCTGTTTTGCGTTAATTGTTATTCTGTATTATATACAGCATTTATGAAATTTTAATGATTTTATATACGCTTTACGTAGGCCTTAGTAATCCTAGTAAAATCCTAAGTTTTGTATAGAATTTTACTAAGATTTATATAGCTTTATATAGCTCTTTTTTAATGTTTTATCTAGCATTTAATGTAGGCTCTTTAACAAATACTTTTCATAGAATTTTACTAGGTTTTATACAGGATTTGTATGGAACTTGTATAGGCATTTAATACGTTTTTTTCATCTTAAATATATTTAATAATTTCTTATATTTATAAATTAATATAAATAATTTATTAACTCTAAAAACGGTAGTAATTTTTCTAACTGAAAGCTTATTAAAATAATGTTGCATCACTTACAAACACCACTTTTTTTTATAGATAATATATAACCTATTTCGGATTTTCACTGACCCCTCAGCAATTTATTGTCATATACAAAAACACTAATAAATGCAATATAAATACATTGTTTAAAGATTCATCTAGAATTTATAATTTAAAGGTAATAAAGTATGTAGTTTTAATTAATAAAAAAACATAAGGAACCGGTGGAACTATTCGACAAGGTTCTGGATACGTATGGATCCTCAAAAATAAATAAATAACATCGGAATCCTAATAATTTCATGAAAAAGTTATAAATTTTATTAATTTATTCGTATATTTTTATGTTTTCGAAGTATTTGTGGTTTGTCTGAACCTCATCTCACTTCTCTTTAAGTCAAAGATTTATTCTTTCTATTGAAATTGTAGTGTAAAATCGGTCTCAGTAGAAAATAAATGCAGTAATTTTACCTTTTCTACCTTAAACAAAGATATAAAACTATAATTATCCACATTAATAAACAAATGTTTTTAAACTTTCAATTCGTAAAAGTTATTTCTAATTCGAATAATTTAATTACACTGTAATTATCACATGAAATATTAATAAGTTAATGATTAATAGTATAATTTCGAATTATTATTGGATAATAAAACAAATGTAAACGTAATAAAAAATATAAAAATCAATTAACTTTTATATTAAATTAAACTTTATTATCTCGAGATTTTTTTTTAAATTTAACATAGGAAAATCTCATTCAAAATAACTCAGAATGAAGCCTTCAAATCTATTTTATTTATTTATTTTTTTTAAATTTAAAATTTATTAATAATTTAAAGCCTATAAATGTAAGAAAATTTCTGTTTTATTAATTTAATTGACTTTTCTTTCGCTTTATTAATGGGTAATTCTAAATTAATAAAAGATATATAATATATAAGTGTATAAGTATATATTATTTATAGAGAACCGTTGACGTAAATGGACAACGCTTTGGACGATTCGATTTTCTTTTGTTCTATGTATTTAAATATTATACTAAATTATGCGCATATATTACACATATATTAAGTTCCACTAATAAAATTTTTGAATTAAAATAAGAAATCTTTAAATATACTATTCGTTATGGGCTATCCTGTATATTAATTAAACACAAATCTCGATATAGCTTTAACCTCATAGATACACACGAATGGATCTTGATCTTAAATAGAGAATGCTTCTTACTCTATTACAAAGGGCATTTATTATTCTTCGAAGTCCTTTGGTTTAGCATCATTTTTTTTTTATTTAGTTCCATATTTTCGGAGGCGAACAAATATAGAAATTTGACTGTAAAACTTCATTTAAAACTTCAGCACATCCCGGAAATTTTGGTTACTTCTGGACTAATATAATAAATAACTTTAGAATGAATATAACTTATTAATTTGATTTATTTCAATGATTTAATGGGTCTAGTTAGAAAAAAAAATCCTCTATATAGTTCGCGGTTATCATTAGTCCATTCATAATAGATAAATCCTATTAAAAATTAGGACTAGAAGGACTCTATTCATTTCTAATTAGTCTCGTATCTGTACAACATTTGAGAAATTTAAAAATAAATTTATTAATCTATTAATTAAATTATACGACTCATCGAGTCTTTGGAATTTAACTTTATACGTATTGTTTTTTTTTTACAAAATTATTATTATTCTAAATTATATAGTTCATGAATAAAACAATTTTTTAAAGAGATCATTCAGTTAATACAAATTACTCGAGAGGCATAACATAATCGTTTCGCTACGATTAGTGAGACAACCCCTCTTCAATACCTAAAGGCAAGTAAGAGAATTGGGGACAACGAACTTGTCTCGTTAAAGACAGCCACCTGCTTTAAAAAGGTACAGTTAAATAGCACCTGTCTCTCTCTCATCTTAAATACTTCCGACAAGTTCAAAATAAGAAGCTTAGTTAGTATAATATCGATCTCTAATGGTTTCTAGTTAGAATCGTGCACGCTTGTAAACCTGTCTGTCTATATCAGATTATAAAAGGTTTAATTAGAATAAATATAGAAAAATTTAATATTAATTTAATACACATTATATTAAATAGTTTAAGTTTCTCTATTTTATCAAATCTCTGAACAGTTGCCATTATTTTGGAGGGTACAGCACAAAAGATATTAAATTGCTGATTGATTCTGTGGTGTTTCTTCATAGAGAAGTGGTGTGATAGACGTCTCTCTATATCGTTTACAGATGGTAATATCACTATATTGATGACATAGACACTTATATATTGTTTACGGGACTTTTTAAAGCACAATTGTCTAAGAACTGTGCCTACAAATAGAGATTGAAGCTCTTATTTTATGATACAAGAATTGTTTTTATAAAATATTTTTAACTAAAATTCTTTAATTTAAATAATAAATTAGGTCAATAAATTAAATTAATTTTTTATATCAAAGGAAAAATTCCTACAGGAAGATGTAGACCTTTTTTTTTTTTTAAAAGGCAATTTAAATTATAAAACATCTGCATTTACTTTTTATACCATCAAAAGATACATCCCAGCAACTTTTTATAAATAAAATATAAATTAAAACATTATAAAATTAATTATTTATTAAGAATTATGCATTTGATTTAAATATATAATTCTTAATTTCTGTTTTTTTTTTTTCAAAATTTCATAACAATTTATAAGTAAAATTTATAACTGAATTTAAAATTTAAAAAAAGAAAAACACCCTGTTAAATGCTTTTAAAATGCTAATTACTTTATTATAATAAAGATGACTTTGAATTTTATCTTATGATTATTTACATATTCTTTAATATATCACAGGTCGTTTCGTACAGATTTCAACATATATTTACAAGTATTTATTAAATAATATAATGTATTAAAGCAATAAATCAAATCGATGCAATTTTAATTTCAAAATGTAACGTAATAAATGAGAATTATTAAATATAATTTCATATTTTATTATAGAAAATTAATAATAATAAAGCGTGTATTGTATAGGGTTATATCGACACTAACTTACTTCGCCCCCCTCCTTCTACAACGTGAAAACGTTGTAGAAGGAGGGGGGGACGAAGTTAGTGTCGTCTATTGCGTGTGTATTTTGTTTGCGTGCCTGTTAATAACAGTTACTTTAACAAGTGCCTAACATGTTTCAAAATTGGTTGACATCTTGTTCGTGATGGATGTTATACCTCATACACCTATAACTTACAGGCTATATTATCGAGGATTAAATAAAACCATAATATTTCTTTATTTTATTCTCGTGATTTTCGATTTTAATTTTTTAATTTCATTTTATATGTGAAAGTTTATAATACAATGCTTAAAAAGTTTTTATAATTATTTTTAATTAAGAAAATACTGTTAACGCCTTTATTTATTGAACGAATTGTGAGAAAATTTCATAATTTTGAATTGTGTCATAGAAATTTCGGATTAAAATAAGATAAATACAATAAATTTTGATTTGTCACGAAAGATTTATAAGCCATCAAGCGTATTGTACAAATCGATTCTTAAATTAAAAAAATAATAATAATGATACAGTCGATCCCCCCTATAACACTGTTGATTATTCCGTTTTATATGAATTCCATGTTGTACGAGTCACTTAGATTTTAAAAATACGTGAGATGTTCATAGCCCGGCACACGTATTTGTAAAATCTAAATGACTCGTACAACATGGAATTCATATAAAACGAAATAATCAACAGTGTTATAAGGGGGGGGGGTCGACTGGTATTTCAGACGTATAGTGTCTTAATTAATAACTCGAGTCTTAAAGACTTTATATGTTTAAATCGATTGTAAAAATCAAGTTTAAGAATCAAATTTATATTAATGATTAAATGTAAAGCTTAAGAATTAATTGTAACGACATTTATAAGAATTAAATGTGTGGGTCAATTAATTAAGACTATTTAACACCACCGTTAAAGGCTCTATATTTTTAAATGATCACCATTTAACTTATTAAGAATCAAGCTTAATATTTTAATAATATTCGAAAATAATCTTTAGGAATGCCATTTCTTTTTTGTAAATACACAAATAATGATTTCGTAATGAAATGTATAAGTAGTACCTGTGGAATAAAAATAGATAATATTTTTTTTTTTTTATTCGTTTGTCTCGAAAGGCGAAATTAATATGCTGTTATACTGAATATAGTTTTAATTATTGTGACAAATAGACGGATACGCTTCGCCTACCCTTCGTTACTACAAAAGAGATAATTAGGATACAGTTCGGTCTTTCTGGTTTCAGTAATAATGAAGAGAACCAACACGCGGAAGTAAAGCATGAGAAAGATTTGATCGATTCATTAAAGTTTCCAACAGAACAATGAAACGTGGAAGAGTGTTGAGCCTATATATATATATATATATATGTTGATCAAATGGCAGTTATATTAATTAAGAGAATGAACTTAAAATAGCTGGGTAAGCAGCACACCTGAAAGGACAGGTGATAGCCTAACTAGGAAGTAGTTTCTGGTCTTTTATGAAACTTGAAGCAGGTGACAGTAGTAGTGACTTGGATGATTCAGATCGAATTTTGTTAAAAATGTCCTCCAGATGATTCTAATCTTGATTTTTAAGTATAAAATTTGGCAAATTTCCTGCTGTTATCTATTTAAAAACATGCTCGGTATTCTACTTTTTATTATTTTGAAAAAAAAAAGAAGTATAATTATAATAGTTTAAGATAAGTTTATAGGTTTCTAATTATTATATTGTTAATGCCTGAAAAAAAAAAAGAAATTAACGATAAAGAAGAATGATGATAAAGGATTTCTATCATCTACATCACTAATCATTTTTTTAAAAATTTTGTAGCATTATTTATAATATAATAATATTTATTTTCAGGTTAAAGTATGGTTTCAAAATAGAAGAACGAAACATAAAAGGCAACAACAGGAGGATGAACAATTAAAAGATCAAAAACCGAAAACAACACTCCAAGAAGATAACGATTCATCATCGGAAGGAGGTCAACAAGAAGTTGCTGAAGATTGGGAACTGGCGTCACATCCATCACCAACCACGTGACTACAAATTTGGACAATTTAATCATAAAAAAACAAAAACAAAAATTTAAAGAACGAATCATCATTACTGTTGAGCAGTTTTTGAATAATAATAATAATAATAATATTAATAATAATAATATAATAATAATAATAATAATAATAATAATGCTCACTCACTCGAAAGGAAAAAAAAAAATTTTTTTAAATAAGAATCGTGAAAAGCCCAGTTCAAAAAAAAAAAAAAAAATATGAGATTTTCGTAAAACTTTAAACTCTTATAGTCTCGTGACATAGTTATATTTTGGATTTTTTTTTTGTGATCTTGTCAGCAACTATGTTGATTAGTGCCAATCACGTGATGGGGTATACGTTAGTCACGTGACACGTACGAGTATTAAAGTTACGAAAAGAAAGAAGATCGATTGAATATTGAACTGGATTTTAATCATTCCTAAATCTGCTCAATTTGCTTTTTTTTTTTAATTTAAAAAAAAAAAAAAAACAATGTTTTCAACTGCCTTAATTAGTCATCATTATTCTATTTAAGATAACAAAAAATTTTTCTTTTCTGAGGAAGAAAACATTACATAAAGGCCTAGTTTCCATGTGGTAAACTTATACAAGTAGGAACTTTGGAAAATAGGAACAAAAAATAAAGAAAAATTCTATTTACATGTTGATTCAGTTTTCCACAATTGTACAATGTTCAGAATGGCATATACTGTTGGTACCATTGAAATGACATTACAGTTCTAATATTGATGTTAGTATGGCTGATAGCAAATTGCAACTAATTCCTGATGTAGTTTCTGGAATAGAATTTTATCATAAGTTGAACATGATAGGAAAAAACAGTAATGATAATAGTGTTCCAAAAGTTGCACATAAACTTACATGTTTTAATCAGTTACTGTACAATTTAGCAATGGTATTTTGGTTTACTGAACTTCAAACCAATGCTTAATATGTTAATTAATTAATTTTGTATTTTTATTAATAAAGATCCATGGAAATGCATGTAATCATCCATATGCAAAGGAACCAAAAATCATACTGAGATAGAATCATAATCTTTGTATGGAATTGATTTTATTTTTATTTATTTAATTTATTATTAATTTACTTTAATGTTATCATAAAATTAAAGTTAAAATGATTATTGGAATCAAGCAGTTCTGCAAGTTTTTTGAAGTGAGTGGTAGTAAAACATAACCATACTGTGTTTATTGCCCATATTATATTTAACATTTAATAACTGTACTAGTTTTGATCTTGATAAATGTGGGCAGTTGTAAATCAAAGAGTGAATTTATTCACTGTTTATATAATATATTATACAGTAGAACCTCCATTATCCAGACCTCCATTATCCGGATTGTTCAAAATAAACAAAAATTTTACGAATTTGCTGATTTGCACATGGTGAATTATGACACTGTTTATGTACGTGACGGAATGCATAACTTTTTTTGTTTCAACAATGTCTCACCCAGCACAGTGGTTGTAAACTCTTAAATATATTTTACGTAGTAATAAAAATATAACTTGACATATGTATTTATAAATAATTTATATTCAAATTACATCATTTCTATGACCAAGGGCGGCGTANTTTTTTAAATAAAAGACAATATAAGTTATCGAATGATTTAAAATAAAAAAAAATCGGTTGTAAGGACCATTTGTAAGAAGAATCAATTTTAAGTATCGATTATAAAAATCTATTTTAAGGAGTAATTTTAAGTATAAATCATAACAGCTAGCTGTAAGCATCAGTAAAAGTCAATTATAAGATTGAATAATAAGAATCAATCGTAAGGTTAGATCTATGAATCAAATGCAAAGATCAATTGTAAAGTTCATAAAGATCGGTTTATAGAAACAAATGTAAGATTTAATCATAAGGATATAAAAAAAATAATAATAATAATTACTTGGAAATATGAGCTTAAAACACATATATATATCCAGTAATTTTAATTAACTTTTAAACTCGTCCATCAATAATGTGATTTAAAACAGGACATTTATGACACAACAGTTTTGAGAACAGGTTCCACGACATTCATAAGTTACCTTCTTGTCAGATTATTTCAAAAGAAATATAACTTATATATGTTTTATACATTATTTAAACGTATCTGTTGAATTTTGTGTAGTTAAAGAGTTATTATGATCTTTTATTGCAAACAAAAGAATTAGAAACAAAAGCAATTATATCATTGTGAAGTTTCAGGAATTAAAAATTAAAGAACAATTTAACATATAAATATAGGAGAAATTTTATCAGTAAAATAATGTATTATGTTTTTTTTTTTCTATAGAAATATTCGTTAATTGTTCATCCATTATTTTTCACGGAATAATTATATTTAAACATTTTTACGAAAATAAATAAAACTAATTGTAACATCAAAGCCCGTGGTTCCTGTTCACAGGTAGGAGGTTAACAAGAACTCAACCATCGAGCGAATCTTCGTTTGATTGGTTAAAAAATCTGGCAAATATTCACTCGTGTTATCTAATTTGGCCTGTTACGTGGAGCGTGTAACTGTCAAAACACAGTAGGACAATTAAGGTCGTTTTTCTTTAATTAAATGTGATCACTGAAGCGTCGATCTTCGAATAAAAGACCAATTGCCGGACGGGCAGATGTGCCATTGATAGCCTCCTCCCTGTCGACTAAAAACGTCATTTTCTATCCTTTTAAAATAGTTTTTCACCCGAAAAAAATAAATAAATAATATAAAGTAACCTTCTAATGAGTTTATTCATAAATAATTAACTTGGTCGATCAAAGATATAATTGTTCATTACATTGCTGTCCACATACCTACCCCACTTGAAGGACTGTCCACGCTGAGCTTTAGTATTATCATTCTCTTCTAATTGATAGATAATATAGTCAAATTTCTCAGATTGAATACTATTATACAAGATAACGATAATGATATTCCCTAGAGTTACTTATATATTATGTAAATATATTAAAACACTGTAAACAAGTAAGTTAATGTTATTGTATTTTTTTTTTCTGTTTAAATATATTTTTAAGATAATTTAAATATCTTCAGACTAAATAGAGAATGTTAAAGATAATGTCTATATTTTTTATATTGAATACCGGAGATAGTATCGACCTTCTAAGTTACACCTGCTCATGCAGCTGAAACTTAGTTCATGGTTTCACAAACAGTTGCAATTGACCCATAGGCTTCTGGCAATCACCTAATTCACGATTTGTTCTGTTCTATAAAAAGAAAATAAATTTTAACTAGAATTAACTTAAAATAATATATAATCAAGTATATGAAAAGGTAAGGTCCAGAAGGGATACTTGGTATAACACAGAGGAACCTCAATATTTAGTACCTTATTGTTTTTTTAGGAAAGGGGTAAGACCTATATTTCTGACCGGTTCGGACCATCTCATCTCATCAGGCCTCATCCCAACACTTAGGGTCAGAGATGAAGACACTGTGTGATGAGATGAGGCCTGGATGAAGCCCCTAACTAAAGTAAATGATATATTTAAGATAATCATGAAAAAAAAAATAAAGAACACTAGATCATAGGGTCGTCGAGAGGTGGAGCCGGGAATTTTTCCCCATGCCGAAGGAAAGCGGGGCCTTAGCGATCTCTACCTTTTACTAATAGAAAATATATTATTTTTAATTATTTTTATTAATAAAGAAATATTCTACATATTTCATTTGTTTAAAAAAAAAAGGCTAAAAGGGCCTGCTAAGAGCCGAAACTCTCTGTACTCCCAGATCTCATATACAATAGCGCAGTTATAGTTTTATAGGACCTAGACGAATTTGAATTACGGGACCCATATAAAGTGTTGACTTAAGACATGTTTTGAGGAAATATTTTGTTGTAAAAGATTGATTGGGGGTTCCCGCAATTGCCGTTTTTTCCATAGGATAACTCGCTTTTTCGATAGGATAACTTTCCCATACAAGGACGACCACTCTGTTCGATTCGATCATCCATTGTTTCACAGTTTTTCTCGATCACGTCAGCAGAATCACTAGGAATAATTGATCAATGAATCCGCAGCTTACGTAAATTATTACATATATTTTAAAATGATAAAAATTAATGATAAATTGGCAAATATGAAGGAAATTTAAATAATAATAATAACAAATTTTAATAAATAATTAGTTAATTAATTATATCCTATATATAGGCCTACAAATAGAAAAATGAGGATTTACATTATTAAAAACCATATTATACTATTAAAATGCTGCATATTAAGAATTTTATTACTAAAATATAATAATTTTTTTTTAAATTTACATTAAAATTTTTTTAATAATAAATAAATATAAAATTACATAAACAAAATATTTATAGACTTATAGTCGATTCTTAATACTGTTTTAATTATCTATCAATACATATAAATGACATATAATTTATTATTCGTGAAATTAATGAATAGAACATGAATATAATAATACAGACAATATAAATAGCTAAAATGATTTAAAACTTTGTAAATATTTTAATTATTTCCTATTAAATATTTTAATTAGCAATTCTTTGAAAAAAAAAAGATTAATGAAAACTGTTGCCATCTGTTATGATTGTTCGGAAATTGGGTAATTTGCATAAATATTGGTGTAAAAATTGATGATAAAATATATTAAATGTATGGAAGGCTTCTCAGAGATCAAGATAATCCCGAATCAATTATCTTTATGAGGCCCTCAATATATTAGTAAAGAAAACAGGCTTATTTTTCACTTCTGTCTTTTTCTTCGTGAGGACATTAAGAGGGACTCTTTTCCATACCTTTCGTAGGTTTCGCCAGGCCTAGAGTAGCCGGATGGTGAAAGACGAGGCCCGACGTATCCGGAACAAACCACCATGAAAAACTTTCTCGTCTCATCCGATTTCCCAAAGCAATAAAGATCTAGCTAGCTTCTTCACCTTTACAGAATTCTTCAAGAGTCTCCGTGTGTTCCCGGAAGTTCCTGTACTCCTGTCATAGAGTTACATTGAGAAGTTCTCCGTAAAGGTATCTTCACAAAGATGGCCCTATCGTAGATGACTCGGAACAAAGGTCAAAGCCGTCTAGAGGGCCCGGACAATCTTGTAGTCGTTCCTACCCGTGTGAAATTAATGTTATTTTTACTAACAGAAAATGA